CCAATTGTAAACTACTGCAGAGCAGAACAACATCCACATAATTGCTTTTTAGTACAATTTTAATTTTTACAATCTTTTACAAAAAAAAAAATTAACAATAAGTGTGTTTGAAATGAGTTAAACAATAATAATACAACCAGTGGAGGAAAATGTACATAAATTATTAATTATAGTTTACAAAATAAGAAATATAGTTTGTTTGTTGCGAAGATGTATTATGTTACCAAGTACTAAAAGGTAGTACCTAGTAAGTACCTTAGGTTTTAAATGATTTAGACTTTAGAGTAAAACATTATAATTGACGAAAAAATCATAATGGCTTTGAGTAAAAAAAATCACCCTGTATCTATTCAAAAAAACGATCAAAATCTATTGCTAGATAGGTATATTCATTTTAGACATATATTTTTAAGATTGTCCTGTAGGTACCTACCTATAGTGTATAACAATAACACATTGTTTTTATTAGATGCGTAAAAATTTAATTTTAATAATTTTAATAATTGTATAACAGTTGTTCGTAAAATAAAACAATGCATTAAAAACCAAAATTGGAGATCATAGTTTCTAAGAAACAAGTTTTTCCAGAAAAATTTGAAAATTTGATAATTTTAACAGTATAGGTCCTACTTAACTTCAATTGCTGTTTTACTGCACATAATTTTTTTGGTATTTTTTCCTCCAATTTGTGTATTTTTTTTTTTTACTGAAAACTATAGTATCATCTGAAATAACGCTTGGCTTTAGATTTGAATTTAAAACAGTTTTAAGTTAGTGAGTTTAGTCTGTATTTTATAGATCATAGGTCTTTCGCACGTACCTATAAGAACAATTATTTAATTTAAGTATTTCTCAATTTTATTGCTATCGGGTATGGCCTGCTAGTTTTAATTTATTTATAAGTTATAACTGTATACTTATATATAGGGCATCAAAAATGATTAATGTATCCAGAAAAATATGAACTTATAATACAATGAGAAATGCCATTAAATTTAAATTAATTTTCAATTAAGTTTTTAACATCTTCTGTGATGAATATAAATAGTATCATAATATTATATAATAAGTACCTACAAAAGGTAGGTATCCAAAGTTCAGATGTTGTGTAGTAACAGAAACAATAGTACCTACTTAAAACATTAACTGTAGGTAGTATAATGCACTCAAAATTGTAATACATTTTGGTTTGAAAATTTAAAAATCTATCATAGTGTTGATTTTCATTCCATATCTACCGCTTGAATTTAATTCACGCACTACTTTACCAGGTAAAAATTTTTGTACGTAAATTAATAGGTAGGTACATTTATAGCATACCTACTTAGTTTGCCAAATGGAAAGGATAAATTTAAAAAAACATGTACGAGCTCAACACCACTCGTGCTATAGATACGTATTTAGCAATAAATAATTGATTGTTCATTCAATATCACTAGTTGTATAACTACATTTGTTTGAAAAATATTTATTTTTAAATAAAAAGTGTTGCCTTGAGGCAAATTTATTTGAAAGTTAGAGACGTTATGATAATGAATTAATAATACAATAAGTACCTCCAAATTGGATTTTTTAATAAACGAGTTTTTAAATATAAGTAGGTACTTATTATTGAACTGTCAAGTTGTTACGTCTTATTATATAGTTTGCATGTAATATCGACTACGGGATAAGTATGCAAAACCGGTGATGAATAAGTACGCATTTACACAATTTGAATAATACAATTTAAGACACATTTTATTATTTTAATAATAAACATTAAACAGCTAATCGGTTTTAATACGCTAACCCCTCTGCAATGTATTACGGTGTATATTATAATAACAATAATTTAAATACCCATATTGAAAACACTGTTGGTATTTATTTCTGAACTATATTACATTATAATACAGAGTGATTAAAAAAGAATAACACATCTTTGAAAATTATGGGTATTATTAAAAGAAAAACTAATGGAACTTTGGGTAATAATTTATGAATGTAAAGAGTAACATAACAACATTTTTTTTTCAGTCAAAGACATGTTTTTTACAGACACTGAGACACTCAATGTGACTCCCTTGAGACGCTCGAGCGACATCAACCCGATAGTTGAACAGTTGCCATCTTATCACAAACTAACAACAAACAATCAAGACGAGGTCACGTGGTGAAGGACGCTCCCGGGGACATCTCTCAGCAACAAAACAAAACTTCTGAAAGTCACATAAACGACGACAGATAGCACTCAGCTCTCCGTCTCTGATTTGCAGAGATGTGGCATTCTTTTTGAATCCCCCTGTATGTTATATTAATACGTTGATAGCAAATAGACGAAAAGACGTAAGTTACCTATAAAATAATAACGATGCTTTGCTACAACCAGGGGTTAAAGTGGGAAAAATTTCTAGAGGGGACTAATGTCTCCATATAGTTTTAAGCGTTCCATATAAATAATTTTATGTATAATGCCTAATGTATAAAAGCCTAATTTGTTATAAAGGGGACGCTTTTTAAGAGGTAGAGGGACTGAGTCCTCCTGCGTCCCCCCCATTTAACCCCTGGCTACAACTATGTTATGTTCACCGTACACGACATTTATAAAACACCACAAACTACTTACCTACCACCTATACCTATACGTACAGCTGCGCAAAGGAATTTTATTACAACACGATGCGTGTATACATGTATTGTGTCTAAGTCATCGAAGTATAAATTGGTTTGTATTTTTGACATAAAAATGACGCACGTGCATGATATAATGCGCGCGTATAATCGATAATTGAATGTCTATCGTATAATATAATAATAATAAATATTAATAACATAATATATAAATTATAAACATTAAACACGCGCTATTATAAATTAATAATGACACCTACTATGTTATACGCGTATCAGCACGTACGTAATTGTCGCCATTGCCTGTATATACGAGAATGGCTGTGTAATTTAATTGGTTTTTTGGTTTAAAAGTATAATAATACTGCGTTTGACGACGACGACGAAAACTTACTGCAGCAGCCAACAGTTTAATATTTCGTAATCGTTATCCAATTAGTTTTTAACGGTAGGTATACCTATATAATGTAGTAATATTATTATTATTATATTGTAATCAAAGCTAAACATACATTTTTTTTTATTAATATTCAATTTATTGTGTCAACTGATTGTTTTCACGATGTTAAATTTAAATTGTAAACCCTCCGTATAATCCAATGATGCACAAGCCGTAACCATATAGCTAGATATATAAAACAACTAGATAGTCGTCTTTATACTACAGTACTACGAATTAAGATACCATAATTCGTGTACAGTACTGTCAGTACTACAGTTGTAACCAATGTTCACGTCGGCCACCATTTATAAAGCAGACAATGTTTATATTTATTTTACATTGATTCATATACATAATATATACTTATATAAACGTATATTATAATGTGATAATATTATTTTGTAAATATTTCCAGCTTTGTAAATGGCCGCCAACTTCGACGAACAGAAGCAGGAGACGGCTATCTAGTTGTATAATATATCTATGGTCGTAACTGATTTTGGAATCTTCTCCTTTTATTTATCTATATTATGTTCTATAACAATTAACAATATAATATCATATTGTGATTACCAATTAGTAAAAATTTATAATTTTTATTCTCGCTTTGTAAATTATGATTGTTGATCATTATTATATAATTATATTATTATACGCACTGTTGTCAACTGTCCACGGTTAAGTCATTATCCATGCTCTATACGCTATAACGTTATTTAGTGAGTTAAGTTTACACCTTATTTAGTAATCGTAAAACGCAGAACTTTATTATAATAATATGCTGCATGCCCAGTGAATTTTTAAACGGTTTTTGTGTATAGTACTATAGTAGGTAGGTATATTTTAATGAAAAGATAGTCGTCACTCGTCAGTAATCGCAGTTTATCGGTACCAGTTTACAGTTAATAAAATTATTTCAAAAATACAAATGATAGGCCTGTACAGAACATTCAGAGTTGATAATATTATCTACCTGACTACCTGTTCTGGGCGCCACGATATGATTAAAGATGTTTGTCATGGGCACGTTTAGGCAGTTTTGTAAATTACTCGAGTAAAACTACTCGAGTAGTAGGTACTTAAATATGCATTTTAAATATGTTCGACAGAAAGTATCTGTAGGTATTTGTATAGGTACTTTAATACTTAATACTTAAGTACCTACGTATACTTTACACGACTGCAATTAGTGAAGTGCTTGGTGTGCTGATTGGGGTGATTATCCCCAACTGGTTAGCAATTGGCTAGTTCCAAATTGTTATAAATGAATAATATTTTTCTTTTATCAAATATTACACAGTTGTATCAAATTTAATTTAAATAGTAATCAATACACGAAAATCTATAATATCAATTAATAATTATATTAATTCAATGTTACGATTTTTTAATATAATATATTATTATAGTTTGAAATAAAAAGAATTATATTCTAAAAACAAGAAATAATACGATGTTTTAGTTAGCTATATTTATTATTCTGAAAATATTATTAGAACGAGGAGTAAATGATTGGTAAATATGTAGTAAATAATATGCTGGTGCCTGGTCAACTTCTTTGGCTAATATTTTGTTTTTATAGGACCGACACCATAACAGTCATTCATTGTCTTCGATACACTTGTCTTCAAAACTGCCACCCAAAAACATTTAAAAGACATATTATTTTTAAAAAAAAAACCAGCACTATCTGCGGTGCGTTCCATCTTGTCCTCGTCAGTCGTCGTATAACTGTACACAGGCGGTTTACAAATACAGTATAATAATATATAATATAATATAATAATATAACGTCCATGACCTCCACACGCACACCGGTTTAGTAATATTATTTTCACCGTCGTTAACCTGCGCGCTTGTGTGTGTGTACTTAACCTGTTAGACGGCGTAGGCGCTAATTTCAGTAGTGGTTCGATCGTCACCAGATCACCGTCAAACCCGAAACATGCAATCGCTCAGGTAAGGCGCATGTCATACAGATTTATAGTGTTGTATATTGTACTTACGTAAATAATACATCTCCTCAATAAATATTAATTTAACACCGACCGGGAAACATGAATAAAATAACGTAGTTATAGGTACCTAATTTATGTCGTCTGTAGGGTTTGAAATTATGCGGCAGGATTGCCCGGTGCTCGAATTTGTAGAAATCCGACCAAATAACAATAATAATAATGAATTACATTGTGATGACAATTTTGTAGAAAAGAACTTTTCCCGCCGACAGTGCTTAATGCATGGTGTAATAAATATATCTGAAAAATGTATAACATGGTTGTTAGTTAATAATTACATTTGGCAGTAATTTCTGCTGTTACAACTTGTATTAGCCATCACAAGATTTACCCCTAGACGAAAGAATAATATTTGTTCATATTCATAGGTGACTTCGTACCATAATAGCATAATTATTGCATAATTTTGTTTTAAATATTCCAATAAACAAATTTAAAAAATGTATCAATTCCGTTCGCAAGGACAGTTACCAAATTTTGGTTTTTATTCGGCGACCAGTAATTTTGATTTTTAACTTAAGAATAGTTAAGAAAGAAAAATGTTTTTTTCTTTACATTTCGGTATCATATTATTAACTAGATACCCACAACAACTCGATCTTCATTCAGAAGACGATATTATATTATTTTGTAGTACCTATATTTATTTTAGATTGACGATTATTTTAAATATCTGAACATGACATCGATTTCCATTAGAATTGAATAGGTATTACTTAAATGGATTTTGCACATTAACTATCAAGTATAAAATTCATAATTATTTAATAATTGCGTTTATCTGAGATAAGGAAATAACCGGATCGATTGTGTTCTTAAAAGTTGAGACAACATTGAAATGATTTCAACGACCACTTGTATGATTTTTATTAATGAACTAATAGGTATAGAATATATGCTATTAAGTTAGTTAGTAGACATATTTGTAGTATGAAAATAAGACGTATGTAACATAATATTAAATAACATATTACTCATTTATTCGTACAGGGGGATTTTTTTTAATCTGCCTTACCGTTTTGTGATTTTTGATTAACAAAATACTAGTCAATATTATATTTCTTTCATACAGTATTGATTTTCAATTTTCAAACTTTTAAAGTGATTACTATGTTTCTGTACATACATATTTTTACCGATTAAAATTGATGTATTATATATTTTAATAATACAGTTACAAGGTCAGATTGAAAGAAAAAGTATTGCAGATATTTTTTAATTTATTTTTAATCTAACCTTCTATACTCCTCCGAATGGCATAGATCCATGTTTTGAATAATTATATTCTAATTAATTAACCATAAATCAAAAACTAGATTAATACACATCATGATTTGTAGCAAAACTATATCTTTATAAGTTAACAAATTTTATTTATATGGTATATAATATATATTCAGAAACTGATAATGGATTGAATGTAAGAATAGAAAGAAGACGATTTCAATTTGGTTAAATTATAAAATGTATAGGAAAACTGTATAATATGATAGGTATGCGATTAAAAGTATTAGTAAAGAGGATCAAACAAATTAATTAGCGACTGTTTTAAAGAATATTTTAGAAGATGAAGATTTATTCAGAAAAAAATATACTGAATACGTCATAAATTTATTGTAATTATAATGTATGTTTATCGTAATTATATCAAGTCTTCGGATTTATTGCGGGGAATCATATATTTTATGAAACATTGAAACGTGATATGAAAAACGAAGTTCCCAACTTAAGATTTCTGACAGAGGTTTTCTCTGTCATTCATTGAAACGACAGTGCTTATTTTAGTTCTTAAACTCTAATCTAGATTATCTGTGGACGAACTTTTAGAATAAATACATTTTAATGTTTTATAAGATTAAGATTTATTTTGAAATATTTAGATTAACCGAATAATTATCATTGTTTAAATATTAAACTTGAATAAAGTTTTCACATTAAACGTTTTAAATACATACGCATATACATAAACATATTATATTATAGTTTATTATTTATATGTATATTAATTTTAGAAGTTTAATAAGCATAATTGTATAATGCTTATAACTTATAACTTATAAGTTATAAGTTATAACTGTCATAAAATATGTATTTGTGAAAAAACCTTAATCGTTATTAAATATTTTATTTTATTATTATATTACAAGGTTAAAATTAAGTTACTTGACTACTTGCCAATTTTTGTGTAGGCAATTTCGTAATAACTTTCTAGCAAAAAGAAAAGAAAACCTATTTTTTAACCTTCTTTAGTACCTGGCCAAATAATTATTTTATACAAGCCTAATACTGAAATAATATGTTTGTTGATTAACAAGTTAAAATGTAATTAAGTCAATATTAAATATTTATAATAGTAAATATAGTATACGGTTTGATAAATTTTGAAAATAATTGATAAATGTAGTAAAAATATGTATGAAAATTCTAGAAGCAATAATAACCTAAAATTAATTTGAACTTTGAAGAACCGTGTTTTAGTTCATTCCTATTTGTGTCAAAAAAGCACTTGAGTACTTACATCGAAACATTGAAGAATATTATTTATTTTCATAAATGTCAAGATTCAAAATTTTTCGATTAGACCAAGTATCAAAAGCAATACATCTGTGAACAATAAATTGAACAATTTTAAATAATTTTTTTAGATTTTAATATAATAGTAGAATATAAATTTATATTTTCATAAAACAATGGTTTAAACTAAGGTGAAAAATAAAACGAAAACTTAACTTTAAAACAATGATATACATTATTAACGGTTTAACTTTCAAAGCCAAAAGAAAAATTGAATCTAGTAAGTAAAAATAATCATAATATTAAAAACGGAAATTCAATTTTATAAGTTTGCGCTGTAAATATTTGCATATTGTAAACATTTGAAGTAGGTTTATACATTATAAAATAAACATGTTACATAAAAACAACAATAGGGCTAGGTTCTTTAATTGAAGCCAATATAAATTCAAAAACATTTTAAGAATTATTAGAAAAAAAATATTCGTGTATAATAATTATATTTGATATTTACCTACCTATTTATGTTTTGCATGTTTAAAATTTTTTTAGAATGGAGTTCGTGGGCTTTAAAATGATATTTATCGTCGCTTTGTCCCTCATGGGATCGGTTGTTAATTCGAAAGAAAGTTCCGAATTCAAATTGCCAACTAATTTTAAACCAGTTAGTTATCGACTGGACTTGACCACGTATTTGGATGATAAATTCATGTTTGAAGGAGTTGTCGATATTCAAGTGAGTTTGGATCTGCGTGTGACACATGTCACATTAACTACGTAATAACTACAATGTTACGTTTTCAGAAAAGGCAGTGTCTTAATTTCATTTTAAAATAAAACAAAAGATGTACATTTTCGATAAAAAACTTTTCCAAATTTCAAAAAAATATTTAATTAAACATATTACAAAGGTCAAAATAATATTATATGATCTATTGTAATTTATTTGAATATTTTGGAAAAAATAAAATTTTTAGAGAAATTTCAGGATTGAAATTTCTTACTAGTATAGTGCCAACTACAACGTCTTTTACCTTAATTTTAGTAAAACTAAAAAACTAAAAATAATTTATAATAACGTCACATATATGATATATAATTAATGTATGTAGATGACCTGTGTAGAAGCCACCGATACCATAGTACTGCATTCGAATAGTTTGAACATCGATACCAAAAGTGTAGTTGTGGCCAACGGTGGTGAAAATGTCATCCCAGTGAGCAGTGTGTCTTTTGATCCAAAGAAAGAACTTATGCACGTCAAGTCAACCGTAAACTTTAAGCCCGGTGACGAATACGTGCTGACTATACCATTTACCGGAAACATCACCGACGATTTAGTTGGTTACTATAGAAGTAGCTACGTGGACAAGGAAAACAATCAAACGAAGTGCGTTATTATAATAATAGTAATACAGTGCACAGCACAAGTCATAAAAAAAATAAAAATAAATATCTTTAGTGATTTCGTTTCTTCTTCTGATACTATAAAAACATAATATTTTGTCACAGATGGTTAGCTGTAACACAATTCGAACCAGCTGACGCACGGAGGGCTTTCCCATGTTTTGACGAGCCCGCGTATAAAGCAACATTCAAGATAAGATTGGGTCATAAAAAAGGATTGACTTCGATTAGTAATATGAAAATGATGAAAGAAACGCCCATGTAAGTTTAATTTATTCAAGATTATGGTCAATTGGATACCGTTTTCGTAAAAAAAAATATATAATATTACATTGTTGAACAATTTTGTACGACATTATAATACGGTCAATGTGGTAAATTCGTGTTATAGCCCTTCGAAACCGGATTATGTTTTCGATGAATTTGAAGAATCCGTACCCATGTCTACTTATTTAGTAGCATACATGGTGTCAGATTTCGCATACATCGAGGCGGACAGTCGAGATGACGAAGTAAAGTTCCGTATAATAGCCAGGAAGGATGCAGTCGGTCAAACAGAACTTGCCAAAAACGCGGGTCCTTTGGTGTTGAAATACTACGAGGATTATTTCGATGAAAAATTCCCACTGGCCAAACAAGATATGGTGGCCATACCCGATTTCTCTGCCGGTGCTATGGAGAATTGGGGTCTCGTAACATATAGGTACGTAATATGAGCGTTTTTAAATAGATACCAATACGATATGCTGTTATAAACTATAATAGTATTATTAAAATACGTCGATATCTTCATCGTTATAAATATTATATTATATGTATAATCGTTATACTAAAATGCATAGTGTCTGTAAACTATATATTATGTCGTTTAAGTTCGAATACATATCCATAAGTTAATTTTACGTTTCCAATAGACTGTAGAGTAATATAATCATAAGGGTTCTAAAATAATTAATACTGCCACAATGTGGATATTATGTACATAGAAAAATATTGTGGAAATATGCGTGAAGTAGAGTCATAATATATATACATAGCTTTTATAAATAATTTATATTCAATGAAGTGTTAGATAAAAATTGACCATGCAGAAGTAGAATTTAGATAATAATATATAATATTCTAATCATAATAATTAATGAACGATAACACTATACTCTAGGTTTATGAAAAAATATTGCGATTTCTCGTGAAATGTAACTAAAATTACCTTACAATTTCAAAAGTTACTTTTTTATAATACCTACTTCATTTGCGTCAGTTTTTTTTAAAAAATATTTAAATTAGGCTTTACAAATATTGTTTCACCGTGTTTGTATTCTCATATGAAATACTCACCTTCTCACAACTCCCATCTACAACTCGCAAACTAGTGTAAATATTAAAACACTTAATGGAAATTAGTAATTTAACTTCAAAAGTTAAACAATGGTGTTCTTATAATTTTTTATAGGAGGGGGAAGTATGTATTTTTCCAAAACTCACTGACTCGAGATTGAATTCACCCCCTATCCCCACTAGTAAACTTACATAGGTAATACTGTGATAATTCATTAACATTATAAACATAAAATACATTTCACAAATTTTATTTAAATTTTATTACTTTATATATAAGGAGATTTATTCTATACGATTTAAATAGTATTATAGTAATTTAATCTATGAAGCAAAATCCGTTTTTCTTAATATAGACTAAGGCTAGGTTCACATGAAGAGCGTTAAACGCTATTTAAATTTTAAATTTTTAAATCTATTTACTTACTCTATTCTTATCTGTGCGTGATAATTTGGTTAATATTAGGCTAAAGTCATTATTTACCAAAAAATGTGTTAATGAATATATTGTAAATAAATAATTAAAATTATTATACTCGTCATCTTAATTACAATAACTATTTTCGATTCTACTACAGAAACTAACACTATATTAAATAATAATTTAGAGAAACCGCGTTGTTAATTGATCCGGACGTTGCTACAATTGATAACGTACATAGAGTAGCCGAAGTTATCGCTCACGAACTTGCTCACCAATGGTTTGGTAATCTCGTTACCATGAAATGGTGGACAGATCTTTGGTTGAATGAAGGATTTGCCACGTACGTAGCAGCCCGTGGAGTGGATTTCGTAAGTTTCATTATCACTGAACGGTTTAATTTCTAATTTATTTTGGAAAACCATGGTCATAATGTTATTATTATATTTTTACTTCATACTATATAGCTGTACCCCGAATGGAACTCTTTCCAAGTCGAAACCGTTCAAAACTTTTTACGCGTTTTGGATCTTGATTCCCTTCAATCGTCACATCCTGTATCGGTAGCCGTCGGACATCCCGATGAAATAGCACAAATTTTCGACACGATATCGTACACGAAGGGTTCATTTTTGTTGCACATGATGAACACGTTCCTTGGCGAAGATACGTTCAAACAAGGCATTAGAAACTACATAAACAAACACAAATTTTCCAACGCTGAACAGGATGATTTGTGGAGTTCATTGACGGAGGAAGCACACCGCCAAGGAACTTTGGACAAAAACCTCACTGTGAAACTAATAATGGACACATGGACGTTGCAAACCGGTTATCCCGTATTGAAAGTCGTCCGAGATTATTCCGCGGATACGGTTACATTGTCACAGGTAAACTCGGGAATAATAATAATTGGCTCTCTTATAACAATTCGATAAGATTTATTGTTAAAAAAAAAAATAATAATATGCATATTATACTATAAATACTGCAGGAACGGTTCTTGACGATCAAATCTAACGTTACGGACAAGAAAAGCTGTTGGTGGATTCCAATAACTATGACGACTTCCATGGAGGCCGACTTCAACCAGACAAAAGCAAAATCGTGGTTGAATTGCGAAAACAACAACCTCACCACACCATTAGCCAAAGACAACGATTGGGTCATCTATAACATGCAGATGGCCGGTAGGTCTTATATTATGGACTATTATTCAATCAAAACGTTTTAATCGTTTGATAAATTTTAATATATCATTACATTAATATGTTTTCTTTAGGTTTATTCAGAGTTTTATACGACACACGAAACTGGATGGGCATTGTTTCTACGTTGAACGATCCAACCAAATACAGAACTATACACCCGTTAAACCGAGTACAGCTGATCGACGATTCGTTCAGCTTTTCACAGGTCGGTGATATGGACTATGGAATCACGTTCCAACTGTTGAAATATCTAAAACACGAAAAAGAGTATGCACCATGGTTGGCTGCATTGGGTGGTCTGGGCCCAATTAATAAATTAATGAAAAGGACCCCGAACCAAGGAGTGTTCCAAGTTAGTATAAACAAGTCATTTTTTATTTTATTATTAATTATTAAGAATAGGGGCTTTTAACAGTGGATTATTGATTTAACAATGATAATAGTAGTTGTATAATATTAGATGATTGTTGAAAGCAAAAATTAAAAATAAACAAAATACATTTTATGGATATTCAACTGCTATTATAAGCCACGATCGCTGTTATTAATATATTATTTTTAATATGTATCTACCATTCGTGTTGATGTTGTTTCATTGGACGTTTTTTAGAACTATATGCAACGTATGTTGTCGTCTGTATACAGCCAATTCCGTGACATGGCCGTCGAACTTAACGGGTTTGAAGAAATCCGTTTTAAAAATCTCGTGACCGCCGAGGCTTGCCGTCACCGAATAAAGGACTGCACCGAACAAGCTCTGGAGTTATTTAGCAAGTGGATGCAAATTTCAGACCCAGACAACAATAATATGTGAGCTTCGTTGATGTATAACTGAACTATAAATACAAACTGTAATCCAAATATATTAGATTGCCTAGAGAACTGAAACCCGTTATTTACTGTCAAGCGATAAAATATGGAGGCGTTGACGAATGGGACTTTTTATGGGAACGTTATCAGCGTTCAAACGTGGGATCTGAAAAAGCGAAATTACTCTCAGCATTAGGATGTAGTTCAGAAACTTGGTTACTGAACAGGTATTAATATCGTTTATGCGTAATACAGAAACACAGTTTAACATTGTTTTTGATTTAGATATTTGAATTGGTCACTTGATAGTTCTATTATTCGAAAGCAAGACGCTGCCACAGTGTTCTATTCCGTAGCCAGCAGTGACATTGGATTTTATGTGGCAAAAGACTTTTTGTATCGTAAAATTGCGGATATATCTGAATAGTGAGTTATCGTGAAATATTATTATATTAATGCCATTTAATTCATTATACCTATACCTAGAATGAACAAATTAAAATAAATTGAAAGTTTAAAGTTATTATTTTAATTTTAATATTTTTAGCTACCAACCTCGAGGCGATCGTGTAGGTAGATACATAAAAGTTATTGGGTCTCAAATGAAAACCAAAGAAGAATTAGACGAGGTAATAAACAAAACATGTTATTTTTTAAAAACCAAAAGTTTCATTCAAATGTTTTTTTTTTTTTTTTTTACAGATCCAATCATTTATAAATAAATCTTCAGCTTATTTAAAAGGAGCTGATTTGACTATCAATCAGACAATTGAGACTGTTAAGATAAATACTGAATGGACTTCGAAGTTTTATCATAAAATTGTAAATCACATGGTTTAATAATTATTAATTAACAATGTTACTAGTAGGCCTGAACACAGTTTGATTATTGAATTAATAACTGTACAGTTCTAGGCCCCTTCGACTAAAAAAGTTATACAAAAAATATATATACATATATCTATACAAAAATATTAAATTATACACATTTTTAAATAATATATGATATTTTTTTTATAATATGACGTAGTTACTTCTTTACCTTGAGGTATGTCACAATATGACAATTTCAGATCTGTTTAATTTGTTGGATATCTGCATTTAATACATTTATCTGTATCATATACCTACTTATTTATTTATTTTTTAAAACTTAACATAATTCTATGTACATAATATAACTATGAAGTGTTATTACTTTTTTGTAAAATAATAAATAATAACATGAATTATATGTTTTTTTTTACAAGGCAAATGATAGTTGAGAAAATTAATTTTTCTCTTGCAACTGATTCTAGTCCTATATTTTATAATTTTTTTTTTTTTTTAATAAATAGGCAAACTGCTCAGAACTAGTTAATTTATAGACAAATTAACTTAAAGTACCCATCTATTTGATTCTATAATTTTTAGAACATAAAAACATTGTAATATTTCATAATAATTTACACTGTACATACTACAATCAGTTGCAATCCTCGATTTGTTGGTCTCCTGTGGTGTCCCAAATTTTATTGTCTTATAGTTACAATCGGTCATTGATTGGACCACCAATTATCATTCTGAGTGTCTTACTCATACCTTCAGATTCCATGGTTACTTCCAGTGTAAATATCCACAAAAACAACCTATCCAACACAGTCGCCACATATTTCCAATCTTTTTTAATCTAAAACTTATCATGTATTTGAAACATTTTTTATTTTAATATTCAAGTTTAAGCGATCGAGCTGAATTGACTGTTATTCAAACAATAATAACATATTTTTACTTTTTTCTCATTTTCTTCTTTTTTTATGCGATGAAGCGTCTTCGACTGCCTTATGAAGTTTTGGACAATTGTGCCAATGTTTTCTACCCCTAAGAACTGGGCCATTTTAAAAATATAATATTTCGTTTGTTATACTCGAATAGTAAGCTCCATCGATATAAAATATTATGATTTATGATATATATTATTGTATTTTGATGTATTTCCCCTTGCAGAACATCTCTCATAGTTGGTATTGTCATTAAATAGGGCATGTATTGATCGGAACTCTGCGATATCGTTACTATCCTAAAAAAATTGATTTGTTTGTGGTAATAATTTTTATTTTTCCTGTGCGTTGACGTGTTAAAATTAAAATTAATTTTTTTAATTAAATTTAACTAATAATAATAGTGATATACTTTACTTGTTACCTACATGTTTTTGAAGATAACATTAAATAAATTACTTTTTAAACATATCGTTGAGCAAAAACGACGGAATGAAAAGCAGAAACCAGCACAAACGAAACACAAACGAATGGAGTTAATTTTAGACGCACCGGTCCGCAAGACTATACATTTTTTTCAAACCACCACACACGTGTGGAAAATTGTACAAAAACCTGGCCAAAATGATATATTTAAAAATGCATTAAAATATACACGTGTATCTGTACAAGCGGAAGTCGCGGCGCACGTACCTACGTTTTCGTATTTCCGTCCAAAACCATCACAAAATTATACAACAAAAAGACGACGACTACCTATTTCAACGTGTCCGGGATGGACGTTGTAGAAGCCCTTATGACGAAAATCGATCTTGTTTACTGTTGTACAGAGTATGAACCAGTCATGTACGACGGATAGGAGGATTTGGGCGACTACGTCTTGTCCATGGTGAGCTCAGCCGTCATCGGCCAACACGAGGTGACTTCAGAAATGTCCACGGATATCACTGTCAAAGTTCTGCTGGCGACGGTCCCGACTTGGGACCTCCATCTGTGACGAAGCAAAACAACCCGGGTGGAGCGCCTGTAAGCTGCACGGTCATGCACAGACGTCCACAACGATCGTTATGGAGGAGGACGAAGAAATTCGTCCGCCAATTATTTTATTGTTGCTGTTCTTTTGACCCGTAGGCCAGTATATTATATTATAACGTTTTTAAACGTCTGCTCCTCTCCCACATAATAACTTGTGTAATTTGTTTACTGTACAGAGTATGAACCAATCATAACAACTAAGTATATACTAAACAGATCTTTAGTTATGCGCTAGGATAATTTTAGTCCGGGCCGTGGTACTCGCGATGGCTGGGGTTAAGTAACGAATAACGCAGTGAAGCTGCGCACAGCAATTTTTTTGTCGATCCTCATTATAGACATCAGAAACCTGACGTTCTGCCCGAGCACTTGGTTGCATATTATGGCACAATGTATGTTCTTGTACGACAGGTTGGCGTAATGCGTCACTATGTGAGTGTGCCCTTCACAGTTTGACAGGATCTCGTCGTTCGCGGCCACCATCGTCGCAGAACATAACTTTACTGTGGACGAGCCAATATTTGAATGATATATTTTCTCTCCTAAAGTATTGTACATTTTCATACAAAATCGTTGTTGTTACCTATTAGTTATCATATTATATAATGTCAAAAAACAAAAACGGTTATTTTAAGCGTCTTATTTTTAATAACAATATTAGGTAGGTGCATTAAACTTGTACATTTTATACATATAAATATATAATTCATATTGTATTTACGAGGTATAATGTAATTTCATAAGTTTTATGTCTTGTATCTCATCTGACGTACAAATATGCACTAAACAATATTTTATTAGTATAGATAAGCATTAAAAATTAAAATAAATAATAATATTATAGATGATGATTTTTCAAAAAATATTATACATTGTTTATAAATTACACAAGTTATTACATTATTAGCAAATTATTACATTATTAGATAATCATTACAAATTAAAATAAATAATAATATTATAGATGATGATTTTTCAAAAAATATTATACATTGTTTATAAATTACACAAGTTATTACATTATTAGCAAATTATTACATTGTTAGACATTACACAAGTTATTAGGAGCAGACGCTTAAAAGTTATAATATATACTATTTGGTCTATGAAGAGGGACCGCAACAGCAAAATAACTGCCTGACGTACTTTTTCGGGCATAACGATCGGGACTGACGTCCGTGTTCGCCAGACGGAAAATCTAAGTACGGACTGTCGCCATCGACGCACATCGATTTCCCTCATGGACCCTTGGAAACCTTTGGAATCCCGTCTGCAGAACGGTTCCGGTATGTTCTAGTGCTCGCCGATGACGGCCGAGCTCACCATCTCTACGACATAGATGCCCAAATCGGTTCCATCGACTCCGAAGAGTTTGATGGAGATTTTGAGGGAATATTTTAACGTTTCGGTAATGGACGTTGTAAACTTGTAAACGCTCTTATGACAAAAAGTGAACTTATCTACTCTACGGACTATGAACCAGACTATAAGCACTTCATTGGAGTGCTCATATCCCGTCTGCAGAACGGTTCCGGTATGTTCTCGTGTTCGCCGATGATTGGGCATCTATGTCGTGGAGATGGTGAGTCCGGCCGTCATTGGCGAACACGAGAACATACCGGAACCGTTCTGCAGATGGGATATGAGGACTCCAATGAAGTGCTTATAGTCTGGTTCATAGTCCGTAGAGTAGATAAGTTCACTTTTTGTCATAAGAGCGTTTACAACGTCCATTACCAAAACGTCAAAATATTCCCTCAAAATCTCATCGTCATATTGCCGTTGCATGGTGTAGGTGATCTTGGAGGTAAATATGTTATTAATTGTCAGAGAACGAGGTTTTTTTTTCGTATGTACTGATAGCAATATTTTATAAATGGTTGTTATAAATGGTTCCTATAGGTGACACAGATAGAAATTGAAGATTTTTCAAACACTCATATGTACATGGCAACAAAATTGTGTTGTTTATGTAAATCTGAAAGTATCTAGATTTTTTAACATATATTATACGGGAACGATAATTATTTATTACATTTTCGTTATGAGTTATACTTCTCAAGAATACAAAACTAAACTTTTTTTATTGTTTAAATAATATCTATGATTTGTAAATTTAGGAAATAATATTAGACACTTTTGGGTATGACCAAAGAAAATTAGAATATATACATATCTAAATTTGCTGTTTTGAAAGTTAATGCGAGCTGCGGTGCCCAGGGCGATATTTTTAAAAAAAACCGGCCAAAATATTATATAAAGATTAACCGAACTTTGAATTTTTTACTTTCTGTGACGGTAGAAATACAATACAACAAACTGCGGTCATTTGTATCTAAGATTTTTATCATGTACACTATAACGTTAACTATAGTGAATTATCTTGTGACTTTTTCCCACCGATAGAAGTCAGTAAAAATGTTAAGATCTGTCTGTTAAGTTTTCAGACAAACAATTCTATTAATAATATAAACAGTAAGTGTAATCAAATAGGATTTATTAATAAGAATGATATGGGAGGTACAACGCCTCGCATCTACTCATTATCCTCAGGCTCTTATGAGTTGAGTGAAATTTAAGTGGTAATAAAACATATACTAACTGATTCCAAGATATCGTTCGAGTTGAAGGGTAATCATAATACGTCAAAATGCGAAATGTTGTGTAGCGAATCTATAGATTTGTCCATGACTAATAATATCGGTGAGTTGTTAGGTTTTGAAAAAGGTACATATTATGATGTTAATGTTAAACATCAATCGGATAAGTTGGTAAATATTACAAAAACAAACTGTATAAATATCGAATCAAACTTAGTCATGGGCTCATTCAATAACGGAAAGCAGTGCCATAGAATACACGAGTTTTATTCGAATGTACCTCCAGGTTACAAAGTGATAGAGATTCCAACACATTTGGTTTTTTATTCCATAAACTGTTCATCTATTACACACTCAGAGATAATATTAAAAAATCAAGAAAACGAGTTAATCGATCTACGTAGAGAGCCGGTAACAATACGATTATTAATTAATGACTTATGATATAATGGGTTTACAGTTTTATAATATAAATAGTCAGGTATATGAAAAACCCCGCAGTCGTGTCAGTGACATTATCAAGTCAACAACTCTAAAGAAAAAATATTTGAAATACTATAAAGTAGGAGGTATCCTAACAGCTGAAAATTTAATGGCTTGTTTTTTCCGATAAATGATTTACTGAAAAGGACTCCGAAATATGCAGTGTTCCAAGTTGGTATAAAAGGAATTTTTTATTTTATTATTAATTTTAAACGTCTGGGACTTCTACCGATGAGCTGTTAATTTATCCATGAATAAAAGAGTTATAACTTAAAGTAAACGTAAAAAAAAATCGTTAAAGACATATAGCTTAACTTAAAAATAAAGGTATGGTTTACTAGGCTTGACCGGTCGGGGTGACATGGCGTCGTGACATGTCAATGACTGGTCCCAGATCCGACATGTCAACACGACCAAGCCAAAATATTGCTCTGTCCGGAAACATTTTAATAATTTAGGTAACTCCTGAAAATGAGTATTGATGTCGAGTTGTAGGTGAATTTGTAAGTGTTTTGTCAACTATTGGAAATTAGTATTGATTTAAATTTTTAGATCTAAGTTAGCAAAAATTTGAAATAACCGCATCATCGAGTATTGACACACTTTATTTAATCATTGTTCAGTGCAAATGTTCTTTCAGTAGACTCATAGTTACGATTTAAATTTCATACATCAAGAAGATACGCCACACCCAAAGATGAAAGAATCAAAAATATGCAAAATCAAATATCATAATTTAGTGCACCGTATAATTTAAAACGAATTTATTTTGTATAGCATACAAAAATCTAATAACAATATGCTATACTCGTGCAATACTAATCAACTGCTATAATCCCGAACTACCTGTTAATTTTATTTTATTTTGAATATTTACCTTTTGTACTTACTTGTCGCATGGACGTTGTTTAATGAAACATGGTTTCAGAACTATATGCAACATATGTTGTCGTCTGTGTATAGCAAATTCAGAAACATGGACGATAAAGTTAATGGTTTTGAAGATTTAGGTATATTTTAAAAATATCGTGACTGCGAGGACTGCAGATATAGAACTAAAACCCGTTATTTACTGTCAAGCTATAAAATGTGGAGTTGTAGACGAATGGAACTTTTTATGTTAACGTTATCAGCTATCCAATTTCGGGCATGAAAAAGAGAATATACTCTATGCATTAAGATGTAGTTCAAGAAAATTATTACTACAGAGGTATTAGTGTCGTTTATGCGTAAAACAGACAACACAATAATGTTTAACATTGTTTTTTATTTAGATATTTGAATTGGTCACTTGATAATAAATTCTATTATTCCCAAGCAAGACGCCAACACAGTATTCTTTTCTGTATCGAAAAATGATGCTTGATTTTCAGTAGCAAAAGACTTTTTGTATCTCAGAATTGCAGATATATCTGAATAGTGAGTTATCGTGAAATTTTATTTTGATAATGTCAATATTCAAATTATGTAGTATGAACAAATTAAAATAAATTGAAAGTTCATATTCCCTATTATTTTTATTTTATATTTTTAGCTACCAACCTCGAGGCTATCGTGTAGGTAGATATGTAAATGTTATTGGGTCTCCAATGAAAACCAAAGAAGATTTAGTAGAGGTAATTAACAGAACAATTTATTTTTAAAAAACCAAAAATTACATTAAAATGTTTTTTTTCTTACAGATGAAATCATTTATTTATAAATAAATCATATGGTTACTTAAAAGGATCGATTTGGTTATCAATCAGACAATTGAGACTATTAAGAGAAACACTGAATGGACTTCGAAGTTTTATAATTAAACTATAAATTACATGGTCCAATATTATTAATAATGTTATGAATTTGTGCCTGAACATATTTTGATTTGTATTAATAACTGTACCTACAGTTTTCGGCCACTTTGATATAATACCTATTACGTAATATACTAGAAATATTAAGTTATTTCAATTTTTAACTATATACTTTTTTAATAACCTGACGTAGTTACTACTTTACCTTGAGTTGTGTCACAAGATGAAAGTTTCAGATCAGGATAATTTATTGGATATCTGAATTAAATTCGTCATATTTAACGTCATCAAATATATTCATTTATTTTTCACAAGTTAACATAATTCTATGTACATATAACTATGAAGGGTTATTACTTTCTTTTATTATAATAAATAATAACATGAATTATATGTTTCTTTTTACAAGACAAATAATAGTTGAGGAAATTAATATTTCTCTTACAACCAATTAACTTCCTATTTTATGGTTTTTTTTTTTAAATAAATTTATTAAACTGCTCATAAATATTTGATTTATAAACAAATTATCTAAAAATATCTATCTATTTGATTCACTAATTTTGAGAACATGGAAATAGTATCTAATATCAGAATTGACACTATTGTACATATTACGACCAGCAGTCCTCGATTTGTTGGTCCCTCATCCCGCATTTTATTAACTACAATGCTTATAAATATATATATATATATATATGTTATAGCCCAGTTGTAGTGGTGGTTGTAGGACTCTACCGTTCGCTCTTCAGGACCAGTGTTGGATGTCATTGGCTTATCCAATGTTGACCATATTGAGCAATAATTATCGTCTTTACATAATGTTATTATAATTCTGTTTCACTGTTGGTGTATGGGCAAGTATTTCCGACAACCGGACATTGATTGGCAACCGATTGTCATACAGAGTGGGTGCCTGTAGGATTATCCCTGCAGATCCCATGGTCACCGCCAATGTAAATATCCACAAAAACAACCTATCCAGTACCATCGCCACATATTTCCAATCTTCTTTAATCTTAAACAAATTTGAAACATTTTGTATTTTAATATTCAAGTTTAAACGTTTAAGGTGAATCAGCTGTTATTCAAACAGTAATAATTACATAATATATTTACCTTTTTCTCTTCTTCTTCTTTTTTAATGTAATCAGCTATATACGCAGCGCCCTCGACGGCCTTATGGAGCTCTGGACAATCGTGCCAATGTTTTCTACCCTTAGGAACTGGGCCATTTTGGTTTGTTTCGGATGGACTGGGTAATGCTATTATTGGACCGTGAATCTCACAACAGCCAATTACACCGCTTTCCAAATCCCTATGGATATAAACATGAGGGTCAGCTGATAACAAATATATTATATTATTAGCGACTAGAGTACTATTTGAACTAAATTATACCTGGCAGGAAATACATCGTTGCTGTGCAACAACTGATCAGCCGAATTTTGATCTCTAAGCTCAAGCCCGTTGCACGTCCTCACCATAATACGATGGCATGTTCCCATCAGACTAAATCATTAGGTACATTATTATTATTAATATTATTATTATTGGAACCCTGGTTGCACACACTATAATTACACGATTACCTCTTCCTTTCCATTTGGTAGTGAGGTCTTCTCATGATTAACATTCTCGGTAGAATGTGAATGAACACTCGGCGGACCCATGGTGACATTACGTGTGTAGTGGGAGAACGGAAATGTATATTTAACACAACGACCGTCACACATATACTGAAAAATCAATTACAATCCTTGAGAAAACATGTTACGTAGCTTACGTCATACACTTATCGTAGTATCGATAATAAGCTCACCTGAGGGTGTCAAGTATCATTGTAAATAGCACAAATTTTCCCAAAAGTGGCACGACTAGTGATGTGGGTGGAATTATTTCGGCTAGCAGCAGAAAGAACACGGTCAGCGAAAGAAGAATCGAAATACTTAAACTAACCTAGAATTAATTTTGTGATATTATTATTTATGTCTGTTTTTCATGTGCACTGTGCATGTTATAACTTAAAATATACCGTAAAGTGAGGTGAGTTTGACATTAAGGGGCGACTTTGATCATTTGATTTTTTTCTACAAAACATTTTTTCTCTCAAAACTCAAAAATTACAGAACTGATTTTTTTGTGGGGCGAGATGATCACTTTGATGACTGTACCCATGTTTATACGCATTTTCAGGGGTGCGATCAAAGTCACCCCAAAAGGTGGGTAAGTTTGATCAATAACTAATATTAGTTATAACTAATGTAAAAATGTAAAAAAAAAATTTGGTTGGAGAAATGTTCAGTTAAAGGTATAATGTAGAATAATTATTAATAATTAAATGTTATATATTTCAGTTGGTTACTAGTACAATAAGTATAAAACTAAAATAATTGAAAATTAATGATCAAAGTAACCCCACCTTACGGTACGTATTTACAATAGTCACTTACTTTTTCGTTACTATCTGATGGAAGGTAAAACACAAGTATCGTAAGAAATGATATCCCCATACAAGGTATGATCAAATTCACCGTGTAAAATAGCGTTTTCCTCCGCATCGTGATATTGAATGTAATGTCTAAGTATGGTTCTTCGCAGCAAGTATAATATTTCTCATTTCTGTAATATAAAAAAATATAATACATCTGTTTATAGTCAATGAAAAGAGCATTCGATTGTTAGCGTTGAAAATAAACGTTACGATCAAAACAATAGACTCAGCCAACACCGACTTTTTTTATAGCGCCTATGCCGAGAGAAAAACATACCAATAATAAATTAAAAACTATACGATAGTCCCAAAAGTTTCATTAGCTTTAGTGCATAGGTACAATGGTACAAACTATATAATATGTGAGGTAGGTAACAGAAAAATTAATGAGATACGCATCATACTATAAATACGCTTGCAGGTACGAAACATGCAGGGGTTTCAGAAATTAATAGATGAATCATAACACTAACCTAACCTAACCTAACGATATTATTAAACATTAAAGGAATAAATGTTATCACTTTATTAGCAGAAAGAAAAGAGTTTGGTTTAAATATACAATTTAATTAAAATTAATTATGGTTTCTGAGTTTTTGACCATATAGCCATATTGGTCTATGATTGTAAAATATATTCATAATAATTAAATCATATGAATTGAATAGGTTTGGTTGAAAAAATGATAATTGTTATCAATAATAAAAAAAATTAACGTTATTTGTAACGGACTAATTTATTAATGAAAAAGGAATGTAAATTGATAAAAATAATTTTAGGTAAAGCAAATTTAATTTAAATAAAAATATTTGGAGTAACGAGTAACGTAATTTCATTGCTTTTTAAAAGTAATTTACCCAACACTGCTTCTATGTAGTTAGTATACTATGCAAATAAAAAGGGTAATAATATAACATACTTAGTTATAATAAAATTATGCTAATTAACATATCATGTAGATATTATATAATATATTATAATCAAAAGGCTAACCTTATTGCTGGAACCTCTAAAATATCCCATTCGACGGAAGCGTAAAATTCGGATAAGTCAACACCGATGTCTACAACTCGTGAACCACTGACTTCATTTGCATGTCTCAAATCCACCTAAAAGTTAATATTCTTTTATAAAACGACATAATATGCACCTCTGCAAGTCTTAACCAATGCGTTATTGGTGTTGTACACAGTTTTTGAATACCAACAAATAAATATTATAATATATTATACAAGGTAACATTTTAAGGGTAAACACTTATTTTCTACAAAAACTGTTAACGTTCTTGGAAACATCTTTTTTTACATAATTTGAAGTAATTACAAAACACTATTTTTGAGTAATATTTTAATTTTTTTATTGTTATGATTGATTATAAGTTAATCAATTTTTTGAATGACAGAATACATTTTTATTTTAATATTATGAATATTTTTTATGAGAATTAAATTTTAAACGTTTAATTGATTAGTTAGTTGAGCTGAGTGTAGTGTCATTGGGAAACCAAGAAAAATGTTTGCCCACATCCCCACTCATATAAACTTTAATAGTTACTAAAAATAGGTAATAATATAAAAGTATAAACAATTAACTTTCCGTTTGAAATATGATTTTTATACATTAAAATATACAAAAAAAAACAAAAATAAATATTTTTCTTCAATAGAAAAATGCATTTTATCATTCAAAATAGTAAAACCATAAAAACAATTATAACTAAAATTCTAGGTGCCTAAAAAAATCCATATTAGGTACCCAATAACGCAATCTTTAGACTCTGATATTTTGAATTTTCCAATATTACATTTACGACACTTTTACGAATAATTACTATGATAACTAAATCAAACGAACCACTAGATATTCCTACTTCGCATGCAGACCATTACGTCCCTATTACCTCACCTTATACAAAAATATGTGAAATACTTTTTATAAAACCTTTGAATGCATATTCACATATATACTAAGAAGCAATAATATACTTCCACCCACTCAATTTAGTTTTAGTTCTAACCATATAATACGATACATCAGAGTTACAGAGTATTTGATGCTATCCCTACTTCACTCGAAATAAACCGCCATTTTACTGGTGTATTCTTAGACATATTTCATACTTTTGACATGGTTCGGCATGAGGGCATTCTATTTAAACTTTCAAAATGTCTACCCCACGGTTTTTTCTATTAATTGAATCATATCTTATGTAATGCCACATCCAAATACGACATTCTAATTAATGCAGGAGGATCTCAAGGGGCATATAAAATAGGATACTGCGAAGCATATTCTATACTTGCTATGGCAAAAACAAAAATCAATCAGACACACGCCTTAACTTGTTTCATATTAAATCGCTATGTAGTCGCACCATACACGTGCTGTACATGTTTTTGACCTTTATAATATTATATTTTATGTTATAATAATAACATTATAATTTATAATATACGTGAGTAAAAGTTTTATGTTTTGAACGATTGACAGTTGCGGTCGTATTCATTTAGTTTCCGTGGTTATATTATTGTTATTGATTTGTAAAAAATATTAAATCCTCTAGGAAAAGCACAACATTCGTATTGTGTTTTGAGTTCTGCTAGATTTTTGCGATTTATTGTTCAAAGATCTGTTGTAAGTTTCAATTTATATTTTCACACATGCCTTCACCACGTGATGCTAAGCCGAGCGGTCGCTATGTAAGCCACGGACGACGATGTCCGATGGTCATGGAGTGCGTGTTACTGTTGGTCATATTGATTCCACTAATCGACGGCGGAAGTGCGGACGCGCACGGCACCAGTCTGTACAAGATCAGGGACATCGACCGGAAGACGTGGACTTCGGCCGATTGTATAGAACTCCAGTGCCGGAAGTCGATTGGGTTGTTGATTCCCGGGGCGAATTTCACCGACGGTGACGGCGCCGACGTAAGGTTCCTGCAGTACTTCGATGTGGTCAAAACTGAAGCCAAGAAAATCGTGTCTTCGGTGTCCAGAAAACGCACCATGATCGCTGTCGTGGACGCCCTGGGAGGTTACTTACACACCAAGCTCTTGCCGCACGTCAGAGAGCAATACTATGCGGGCCGGGCTTCTTATTCGACGGTCAAACGGTTACATGACCTGGATAAAAATATCAAGTGAATTTTTTTTTTCGTAGTTGTCTTAATACAGTGTTTTTAAATATTTAAATATATTTAAATATTCACTCTCGAGTAACTTGCAGCTAAGTAGATGTAAGTAAATACTGCAGACGGGCCTGCGTATATATACAGGTATAGCGAACCCGAACCTCCGAACAACCGCTTTAATGAGGGTAGGTACTACTTTTATTCTATTTTTTTCCCCCGTAACGCGTTCCGTACTATTTAAAACTGATCTTGTTAAGACTATACGACTCCGTGTCCGTTCAACCCATACGATATTACCACCGTCACATACGCATCCGTTCCGACCCGTTGGGACCACTATACAGGTACAAATATTTTAAACAGTTATTTATTATTATTTATGTAAAATATTTCAAGTCAAGTGTTAAAAAAAAATGGTTGAAATAGAGTCATGTGCTTGAAAATACTTCACGAAATTAAACATTATTTAATATTAAAATTATTAAATATTTATTAGGTAGGTATACAATCACTGTCTGTCATAATACCTATTATCCATCTCGATGTGTATAATAATGGTTATTTGTAAATGATTTAATTGTTATTATTATGATTATACCGAAATATAATCATCATTCTCCACAGGTACATTTTGGGCACGGACGGCCGAGGTTGGGCGAGACCGATAGTGAGCGACCAGCGGTCCAGCGAGGACGTGTCGTTAGCGATGTGGCGAGCAGCCGAACGTAAGCCACGAACGACGGTTAGGCCCGCTGACGGGTCTTCGGAACGTTGCGGTGGCGTGGCCGCGGGCCGTTACGGTTTGCTGGGCAGCGACGACCCCGTACCGTATTTCGACAACAACACGAGACCGCATTCTGTGGTGGTGCCATGGCGCCAGGGGCGGACTGTGCTGTACGGCATCCGGGACGCCGGTTGCTATCGGACGCTGTTCGACCACCTCGCTACGGCCACAACGGCCAACATGCGCGGACGCAGCGCCACACTGCGTCAGTGGCTAGACGAGGCCGTTTTGCCGCTCGTGACGGCTCGGGCCACGGACCGATGGTATCCTGCTCTGTGGGGCGCTACGCTCGTGGCCAGGCGTCTAAAAGACGTGGACGCCGTCACTCGTGTTGGCGATCGGGACGGTCGGGGTGGAGGTCGTGGCCACCGCCTGCAAGTGGACTGCGATTGGACGACAGCTGAGGTGCCCGGCTGTAATTTTTATACTGCCATCGTCCTGGCGTCCGCGTACGTCTGCTGGTCGGTGGCCCTGATCATCGCCCTTTATCCCACCGAAGTACAATAGGGACCTTCCTCCATCGCCGTCCGCCGTCCATGAAAATTCACTTGATATTTTTCTCGAGGTCATGTAACCATTTGACCGTCGAGTAAATTGCCCGGCTCATATAGTACTGTTGTCTGACGTGCGGAACGAGCTTTGTGTGACCCTCCCAGTTAGGTTAAAATATATCAACTACAATTAATTTATACATTGTATGATATAATTATATATAAAATAAAATAACAATTTTCTGAGAAACACTTATAATTACTTTTATCCTTTATTTTTAGAACTTCAGTAGTTTAACTTTAAAATCACCTCCCAATGATTCAAAGAGGAAGGTCTTTGTTAGTTTAATTTTGATTTTGTGGCTACATATTAAAAATATACAATAGCTATACTGTTTATTAATAATGTCTACGTCTTTTGAAAAAAGAATAAAATGGTTCATACTGTTAAACAGAACAATGGTTTTTTTAATAGCATAATAATTATTTAATTATATCAGTATAAATAATAAGATCATTTATAGGTATAGGTACATAAGAAACAATTAAAACTTTTGGAAAAAAATGCATTATTTCATTATTATATCAAACTCTGAATGTGATTAATCTAAAACATGAAAATGAAATGTATTCAAATAAATACAATGGACTGAGTCGCGTACACATTGTGTTATTTTATTAAGCGCTGGTTGTTGTAGGTACATACTAAAATAGAAGATTAGACTCACACAATCGATTTGGACGTCAGTTGCATACCAAGTTGGAAAATTATCGGCTCACCATATACCCTTTTGGGGTTTCATTCGTATTGTAGCTTTTGTTTGAAAACACTAAAACAATCCCCTTTGACTTATTGAACTTGTTAGTATAATATTAAGTTTTCTTTGGTAAAATAAGCCATACGAGCAGGAAAACGAAAAGAAAAGAAATAAAACTAAGTGCTTTTTCCTCGTTTCGAAGTGGACGAATAATATTTGGGCACCTTTCAATTTTTCCACAGAAAAGTTTTATGAGAAATGTGTGTACATTACAGGGGATAGCAATAATAAGTGGGACAGATAACTCACGAATAGGAATTAAAACATTTTTGTATTCAACAGTTTATTGGTTTGGTTTTCAAATTTTTGGAGTTTTTAGGAAGTACGGTAAGACGGAAATTTATTACTAAGGCTCCGTTGGCCGTCCGTCCGTCTGTCACCAGGCTGTATCTCATGAACCATGTAAGTTAGAAAGTTGAAATTTTCACAGATAATGTATTTCTGTGGCTGCTATAGCGACATATACTAAAAATCCTAAAATATATAATAAAAGCAGTGTGGCCAACATGTTTATAGATGATGGTACGGGACCCTTCGTGCTGAGATATTATTATGACAATTTTATTGTATTATTTATGGTTATATTTTTTAACAATTGAATTACCTATTTATTTTATATTATTACATTTTTCAATATTTATTGAATAACACGTTTTATAAGTTGTTCGATGATTATGTACTATAATACCTTACCGTAGAAAAAAAACTTCATAAGTTACTTGATACTTGCAAATACTGTAAATGATTTACACTTTACAGTATTTGATACTTGTTAGTACTTTCAGCTTTGATATTTGTAGGTTGTAGTGTTGATATGTTGTACACATGGTTTTTTTTCATTAATAGTTTTATAAAAATAAGTTTTGATATTTAGTTCTTACAGTTGGTCACCCTGACTGTCGGAGTAAAAATTGGTTGTTATCATTTGTCGGAGAACGGCCTTCGTCCGCTTCGTGCTCTGTCAAGTCTGACTGGCACTTGGCCGGTTTTTGTTTTAGTGGTCTGATGAGTGTTAATCGGTATATTTTACTGATTCGAATTAAATAACTCAACATAAATCTTAGAATAAAGTAAATTACTTATGATTACATAATATTATGTACCTACTAATTAGTAATTACTGTAATATGCAGACCTATATTGGTTTTAAGTGTTTTATATTATCAAATGGTATAAACCGATTAATGTTAAGGTATAAACATCCTACACTAATGTAATATTATTATATTAATACTTTTGGAGCACTTATGCTTACGCATTTTTAATATTCAAACCGTTCTTCTTCATTTATATAATAATATGTATCTTTTTATAGACCATAGTATGCAAATCATTTAATGACATAATAGTAGTACTATAATAAACGTACTTTTGAAAATATCGAACCGTAATGCAGTTAAATAAATTATTACCCAGGTTTTTAAAACAAATAAAATGCCTGCATTTATCTTTATATAAATATTCGGTAGTAAATGTTAACAACACCGAACTAATTTCAAACTACGATGTGCATTAGTAGTTCAAAACATGCCATTAACAGATTGTTGTCAACTTTAACTGACGTCCGAGTTATGTAACAATGAAAGATTAATCTATAATAATATGTTTAATGTTACTTTTAGAAAAACGTTTGTTGAAATTGTTTGGTAAATATATCAGGATAGAGTTTGGATTGATTACTCTATTCTATTTAAACCTAACCTTCCTAAAGTTTAATTAGGCAGGTATTTAATATTTATTATACAATACTAAATTATAATTTTGTTTTTTTATTAAAAATGTAAAAAACAATGTGTATAATAATGTAGATTAATAATTACTAAAAATTATGACTGGTCTGCAGTTACCCATATATAACCGGCTTAATCTTTATCTCAATTAGCTTTTTGTAATGTAATGTAGT